GGAAAATCCTTGAGACTGCATTCTTGGCTGTTGATTGTATTTCATACACAGGCTCCGGTAGGCTCAGTCTCTGTGTAGGACAATTTAATTGAGGGAGTTGGGCAATCTGCCAGCTCTGCAATTGATTTGTGTGGCCATGGGCAAACCATGTCATCTCTCTGCACTCGGGTCTTAATGTATATGGTCTTTAAGGTGGGTCTTAGATTAGTAACACTTTATCTTGCTGTATAATATGGTAACTATAACAATTTGTGTGTTTTGTATGATTTAATAGCATAGTGATTGTCACATAAGCTAAGAGGAGTAGTAGGAGGTTTTGGCTAAATCTAACAATTGCTCTTTTATCATTTAAGTGGGTGAAACCATTGCTACTTTATGTCTTGAGAATAATTTATGAAAATGACACCAACTTCGAGCTGTTTGTACTGCACGTGCTTGCAGTGTTAACCTGTGGTGAGTCTGATGTCTCCTTAAGATTAATTCAACTGTTTGCTTGATAAGCATTTAATATTTTCGCTCTTTCATGATTAAACTTACAGATCTTTTTGAAAAAAAATAGCAAACTGACCTATGCTGGCACTGAAACATTTGGTCTTAACAGGATCCAGAACATGCAGAAACTGCATGTTCTGTAAGGGAAAGCATATTTGGGTAATGGTCTACCAAGTATGTAAATTCATCCATTGTTTATAGGAGAGTTTCATTATCATTTTCGTGATATGGACACCCCTCACAATCATCACATGGCCCTCTTTACCCCATCTCCTCCTCTACTAGTAGCTGCCGAAAACGGTGGTATGCTGTCTTCCATGTTTGACTAGTGAGGACCAAAAGTAATCTGCCTATGATTGTGCAGGTGCCCAGTTGACAGCAGATTGGATTTGGATCCCAAATGGGATGCTGGCATTTCCGTGAATATGAGACTGAAATTGAGCAGCTTATTGGATCCTTATCCATGTCTCGTGGAGACAGTTATGAATAGGATCTAGGCACAATTCCAGTAATAATTCTTGTTGCACTATAAATACAAAACCAGCTGTTTTCATGGTGAAGCTATGCTTTTGCTGTCCATTTTTAATCAGAAATAGGATGCATGGGCATCTGAGGAAATGAAGCAATAACAAATTTTATTATTTAGAATGTGACTTTATATTTTATCTCACTTTTCTTGAATGATCTGAGATGCTTGTGATCCTTGTTTGGGTTGTCTGAATCGTTTACTGGTCCCCAGTTGTTTCCTAACCACGTGGTGATAAGAATACAAAAACAATCAGAATGTCTTCCCACACCTGAGCACTTCCTGGCAGTATTATTCTCACTGGAAGGAATTGTTGAAATTGGTGGCACCACCTATTGGCAGGAGAGTAAATCTATGAATAATGTTTATTTGCATACTAAGATAGAATAGTAAAATAGATATTTTTGAAACAACGGAATTGATATGCTTCAGTAAAGCTAGTCCTTGATTTAAAAACAAAGAAAAAACGAAGCACCGCTTAGTCTAAAATATATTTCTGAAATAGTAGTGATGCAGAGCAGATCTTTCTAGTTATTCATGTTGGCCAATACTGTCACTTTTTTTGTTGTTGTTATGTTTAAAAGACTTTTGAAAAGGTACCCCCCCTCAAAAAGCAGCTTTGCAACTGGCTAAAGGTGTTAAGACCTAGATTATTTGCTGATTCTGTGAAATAACTGGAGGTAAATTTTTCCTTATTTTGTTGTTCTCATTCTTCCATTTTAACAGATGTTACCTCTAGTCTGAAATGAGCTATCTCTCTGCAACAGCTTCCCAAGTGTTTGGAAGGAAGCAGTTTAAGCTGCAGTGTCTTCAGCAGGAGGATCTGCATTAGCTTTGAGGGTTTCATGGATACTGTGTGATAAATGGCTTCTGGTAGTTGGCTTTGAGTGTGCTAGTCACTAGTGTTTATGCCAGAAGAGTCTACAAATGACTTAGTTGCACATCATGGGGCCTGTGTGATGACAGAACTGGTTGAATTTTCAGTTTGTTTAAAAAAAAACAACTTCACTGTGGCCTTCTTTAAATACATAAGCATAAATAAATATATATGTACATTTTTTCGAAGGTGGTGGTTCCTATTTAGCATCTCTACTTTTCTTATCTGGAGGAGATGCCTGATAGCTGAAGGCTGTCACTCCTTGGGGCTGGGCATGAAGGTGCAGTGTTTCCTTGAAGACACATTGCAGACCAGGCTACACTGCCATCATGAATAGCTGAACAACTGCAGGGAGGCATGGGAACAGCTGCGAAGTCTGGAGAAGGCTTTGATGCAATATATATATCTTCTCAGTATAGCTTCAGTTCATAACCCAGTTGGAAAACATCCTAAAAATGCTGTCTATGGATGTGCCTACGTTAGGTGGTTTCCAGGGATTCCTCTGCTGAGGAGCTGTGGTTGTGTGAGCAGATGGTGTAACCCTGCTGGGGCCGGGACAGCATTCAGGTCTGTGTGCAAGGCAAACCAGTTGCTGTCCTGCAGTGGAACGGGCACACAACTGCATGCAGAAACTGAAAACAAATGGGCAGAAACAGTGCAGGTGAGCTCAGGAATGGAGCATGCTGTGTGGAAAAAAGCTTGCCAGCAGTAATGTCAGTGTCTGAAGGGGTGAGATAGTTGGTTTTACTGTTGTGGTGCAGTTTGCCAACAGGCTGATGCTGATGTAAATGTAAAAGAAGCACAGTTTATGACTTGAGCTTCCTTAGTGCAGAGGGCTTAAGGTGCAAAATGTCCAAGCTCATAGCCATCAATTGAGCTGACAACATGAGAAAAAGTAGCATTTCAGTTCCTGGTGAACACAAAGTTGGATTGTTCTGTGCTTTAAAAGAACATTAAGTTTATTTCAGCTAGGAAAGCAAGAGGTAGAATGTAAAGTACTTGGAGCAAAAATGCCAGAAAATGCATGTATGATTAATACCCTGGTCCTTTTCTCTTCTTTATTAGCAGAAGCATGGAAGGATGGTCAGTGAAAATGCTAATGTGATTAAGCTGCTTACGCCTGCAGGGTCACAGCTGAAGAAAAGCAAAGCACAAGTGTGAATCTCATCATATTTTGCCACTAAGTTACTGTAGTTCAGCTCCTTGGCTAACAAGTTGAGATTTTCCCTCTTACTCCTGCCCATCCTTTGCTTAAGTAAGCATAGATCAAAACTGACGGTATGCTTCTGGCATTCTCATGTGAAAGTAGGCATGAGGGATCACAAATAACTACGAGCTGATTCTCAGACTGGAATTTGTTTGCTGACTGTCCATGTGGGTGGCAGTGTCCATAAATGTTTTAGCACAGTCTGGTTCGTTCTTGGTCTCGGTACAAGATTTACCACTGACCTGTCAGTCCAGCCGCAGCATGGAAGACTGTACGTTCAGAAGTGAAAAATGCTTTTGGAAGTCTTCAGTACTTAGCAATTCAAGGACAAGCTGCTGCTGGCTAAATGTGGCTGAGCAGAGAGGTGGATGACTCTAAATAGGGAGTGACACTGGGAGGAAATGCTGGGTGCAACAAGTGCTGTCCTGGCTCTGCAGTGTGATGGTTGTTCTGGGTTTTAAGCCCCCCTGTACTGTGTGGCGGAATTCCTTCTGTTGTGATCAGATGCCTTTGTCTTAATGAAGTATGTAGCTACAAATCATCTCCTCACTGTCTGTTTCAAGGGCTAGAAGTCATGTGTTCAATTTCATGTTCTGTAGTTCAGCTTTGTGCTTGTCTATAAAATTTCCTGACACTTCAGTGCTATGGGTTGCTGTTCCCTTGTGTGCTGCAAGTGAGGCACAACCAAACCATCTCAGTCTGCGTGTCAGCAGGAGACAGCTGCTTCACTTCAGAGTCCATGGGTATATGCCTTCCTGCCCTTGGCTACAGATGCACACAGACATCTGTAGGTACACCTGTGGACATTGTATGTGGCATAAAGATACTGAGAAGCCAAGGTTTTGGGTAAGGTACGTGGCGTCATTCACAAGCAGCAAGAGAGCAAGGTGTGGCTAGCTGCTGGAAATGCTGTTGACACCTTTCAGCCCATGTTTTACTTGTGCTCTGCACACGATTCATTACAATAGAAAAATACTCTTTACTGGTGTAGCAGAGAAATTAAACGATTCTCATGGGATGTGTGTATGTATGTTCACACATGCATGCAGGAGGTGGTGAGGTTGTTTCCAGTCTCCTGTGTGTCAAACCAGGTTTTACTGTTAATTTATCTATAAAAGGTTCTAGAGAGACCCCTAAATAAATGACCTGAAATAGCAAGTCCAATAAATAGTGCTATGTTTCAACTTGGTTCCACAGCTCTGTCTGTATGCTGGAACCTACAGAGCTTGTGCGTATCTCCTTTCTCAAGTCCTACCAAGTTTTCTCTTCAAGCATTGCAACAGTGAAAGAAATGCAAATATAAACTTGGAGCTCTTTGTTTGTAAAAAAAGCCATTTACAGAGACAGGAGTGAATCCGCTTTCCCCCCTTCCCCCCCGGGTTTCAGACAGCAGTAGTTTGAACAGGAAGTACTGTATTTAAGTGCAATATGAGTGAAACATTTTAGTGAGACATCTTGGTTTGTTTGTTTTTGTTTGATGCTGCTCAGAGATCTGAAGCAGTAGGGTAGAAAGAGTAAGCAAAAAGCAGAAAAAACTTATTAAAATTAAAAACCTAACGTTTATGGTGCACTTCTCCGTGAGTCAAAATGTCTGCTTGGATCAAAAAATCAATAGCAGCAGTGGATTTGATCTAAACGCAAAATTTTTGAGAAGATCAAGGAAATGTGGGAACATGAGGAATGATCCTAGTGAGAAACGCTGCTCTTGTTTCTCAGTTATAGGCCTAATTTCAGTTAAGAGTTGTTGAGACTTCCGCCTCTCTTCTTACCCCCACAGATTTCAACGTCATCCCAATCACAGTTGCTGTTTGTTGCCATCCCTCTTCTTTTTCCCTAAAATCAACTGCTTAACATGTGATGTCTTGAAAATGCTCATGATTTGTTTGTTTTCTTCGTAGGCTGGAATGGTGCTGAGATGTGGCTACTTCTGGTTTGGGTTATTTCTCGTGCCCACTGTGTGCCTTGTGAAAGATGTGGCATGGACAGCGTAAGTCCTGAACCTGTCTTCTCTGAGTTCTGGAAATTATTCTGCATGCTCATGTTGTCCAGTTCATCCTGTACCAATCCGAGGGAGGCAGTCTTCACTGAGTAACAAAGATATCTCTCTTGATTATTTACATTGTCTACCCTGTACGTAAACAAATCGAATTCAGACCTCAGAGATGTTCTATTCTAAAAGGGAGCCAATATTTTGTTTGGTTTGACTGAGGTTACATAGAACATAAAAATGCAGTACTCCTGTCCTTACCCTGTTCCAGTTTCCAGTTGCTGCTTTTTAGGTTCACTCGGCAGTGGGTATTTGAAGATTTAACTGAGAGGAGAGCAGTACTCATAGAACTCTGTATTCAGTTTTAGTAACTTTTTCCCTGCCTGGAAAAGAGGAACAAGCCCTGTGAAATACAGGTCTGTGTAATCTCCAGATCCTCTCAAAACTCTTTAGTTTCAAAAATCTGCAGAACTTAAACAATTTCAGTAATTCTGCTTTAAAGAGAAGGAGCTTCTCTATCACGGCAATTGAAATGCAGAAGCATACTTTTCAGGTAGCATTTCTGGTGTTCCACTTGCTTTTTAAGCATCTAATGACCCACAGCTTTCATTCTTTCCTTTGGAAGTCTGTTTAACAACCAAGATGTTTTTGATGATTTGTTGGTGTGTTGTGATTTGTAAATGTTTTTCTTTAGCCTAATTAATGAGATTTTTTTTGGATTCTGAACAGCTAGAAGTAACTTTGTAATCACATTCTCATTGTGTTAGAAGAGCAACAAAGAAAGCATTGCCCTTTCTCTCATCTGAAGGCAGTGCTGGGCTTTATAACCTGACACAAGGACCCAACCCTTTCTAAGTCAGGAAAAAATTGAGGTCCCAGCTGCCATGAAGAGGCAGAAGAAGAGAATGCAGACTAGCATGTCACTTTGTCATGAAGGCCCAAAGTGGAAGCTTCATCCGGCAATGAGCTGTTGATCAGTCAAGGAAGGCTCTGTTCTAGGGAGAAATACAAAAAAAAAACCAAAAAAAAAAAAAAAAAACCCAAAAAAAACCACCAAAAAAAACCCAGAATGTTTGCCAAACATGGGTACATTTCAAGCTCCAGCATATGGGGTAAGTCAGGTAATATACATGCATCTGAAAATCTGATTTTTTTTCTTCCCTTGGGGCTGATGGCATGATTAAATTTAACTAATTTTGCTTGGCAAACCTGCCAGTCAGTAGATACGTATTGTATGCTTTCCCATTTTCTTCATCAGCTTAATTTTCATGAGCTACACAGCTAAAATTGAATCTAAGAACCATAATATAAAATTTATGTTAAGGTTAAACTGTGATTTAATGGTTTTGCACACTAGAGGGTTTTTTGTTACATTCATTAAATTTCTTCAATTGAAAATAATTTAAGAACTGTAAAGCTGAGCCCAAAATGAGGCTAAATTTGGATACTTAAGTTAGCTGTGTCAATGAGCTGGTTTTTAAAACTGAAAAAATCTTAGAACTCATTTAGTGTAACAGGTCCTACTCCTGTGTCAGGCATTATTTAAAATTACATGCTCAGAAGTCAATGGGAGTACTCCTGTGATTCAAGCCAAATAGGAGCTGAACTGTTTGCGTCATCAGGAATCAAAGATATATTTTGGTGTCCAAGACTGTGCTTCAGTTTTTCAAATGTTTCTGTGATAGTTCAGTGTCCTGCACTTGTCCTCTGTTCTTATCAGTTCTTGGCAAAAATGGCTAAAGAACTGTAAAACAAACCAGGCTGAAGCAGGCTCATCCTCAGCTATTACTCATGGAAAACTGTTACTGACTCAGCCTGTTCTTCAATATTTCTTAGAGAATCTCAGCAACATAATCCTTTCATTGCTTCAGAGCAGGAATGTACAGAGATTGTGAAGCTCGGAAGACAAACGTGTGTGATTGATATGCTGGATATTTTCCCAGCAGATTTTAAACAGGAGGCTCCTATCAACATTAAGCAAAAAATCTGTTCTCTAAGCAGGACTTCTCTTTTTAACCTACCACTGAAAAATTAACGTCATTAACATTTTAACTAGGATAAATGAAATGACACAGCTATCAGCACTGCCATATGGAAGGAGTAAAGGTCTGTTTCCTTTCCAAGAGGCTTGCCATTCAAAACTTGAGCCCAAGGCCTCTGGAAGTCAGACAGCACGTTTCCACAGCAGCGGTTACTGCACGTTGCTGTCCATAATTCAGCAGAATCTGGTTTGGGCCATAAAATTCCAGCAGATTTGACTTCTCGTGGTCATGGAATTTGTCCCTTTCTGATCCTTTTGGATGTGAAGTGTATGTCCACAGAAAGAGCATCTGTGTGACCCAAAAGATACATACCGAATTTCAGTACAAAATACTGTCAGAAAAACAAATATGGTCCAGAGTTTTTGCCTGGAAGAAGGCTAAAAGGAATAACCCAGTGTGTTTAAAAGCCATGCAAATATTTGTTTCTAAACTGCCGTTCTGTATCCAGTGTCAAAATGTTTAATGCTGGCAAGCATGAGCGAGTTTTACATGTTCCCTTTGTCGTACATGCTGCACTTGTCAGCTCCCACGTTCTCCACAGCTCCAGGTTTTTTGTTTAAATATTCTTGTGTATGTATGTATATATGTATATGAAGTGAATCAAGGAAAAGTGGGATACTTCTCACTTTAGAAAAAGAAGGAAGCTTATTATTAATTCTTGGCTGCAATACCACATTGTTAACTTTGGTCCACTCCTTGAGTTCAGTGGCTTTGCTTGGATTAAGGTTCTGCCTTATAAAAGTCCCAGTTGTGCTACCATTGAAAAGAACAGAGTTTTATAAAGTGAGTTCTTCCTTACAGTTGGCACGTGTCACTTGAATGTATGTCACTGTTGCTAGGAAGTCTTGAAATGTCAGACCCACAAAGCTATGTGAGAATCATAAAAATGTAGAACTTATTCTAGCAAAATTAGGGAAGAGGGCAAGAATTTATTTTTAAAGATGGTGTCTCAACACTTAGTATTATAGTGAGACATTTCTTGAGCCTTCCAGTACTTACCAAAGTCCTGATGTGCTTTTTTTTTTTTGTGAGGGGAGGACTAGGGGAAGAAGCACATTGTACTTGCCAGCCCTTGCAGGGTAAATAAGTGACAAGGCACATCCTTGTGTGCACTTGCAGTCTCTGGAGCATGGGACACCTACTATGGTGTTGATAACGAAGAGCCACAGTAGAGGTGTCATTGTGCTTGAGAAAAACTTGTGAATGCAACCGTGTTCCTCCCTGCCATGTCCTGACCTTCACAACCCCCAAATATCCCCCAGGGCTGTGATGTGGAGGTATGCACTTCCCTGACTTGGAAGGGGGAACAGCCAACTGAGATGACGTTCAGCTATTCTTGTGGTCCCTGATCTTAATATCCCTATGTGTGAGGAAAGTTGAGTTTGCCTTTATATAACCCAACAATTGCAGATGAATGGGAACAGCAAATACAAGAGCTCACAATTTATTGAGGGCTGATCACACATCTAGGGCCGCTTGTAAAGTACAAGGTAAAAGCTAAGACTTCTACCTGTGTTTTTATATATCAAAAGTTAACAATGTGCTGTTGTGAAAAAATCATGAAGTATCCAGTCCTGTTGCCAGCAGTCCATGGAATATCTGCAATTGGCTTTGATGGGAGCAAGCCCAGGCTCTGAGGCATTTGTAATACCATATTTTAGTATTTGTTCCTGGAGAAACGTGTGGATAGGTCAGCTCATGCACTTTTATAAATACTTCATTACTCATTCTTCCATGGATGTTCTGTCTCCAAGTGAAGAAGTGACTCAGTGCATAACAATTACTTGGGGGGGTTACTGTTGCTTCATGGATACTCAGCCATGGCAGAACATACGTATTCTGTTATTTCATTTTACTTCTAAAATACTTCAGAACACCTGACTTTGGAGCAACTGTATTTTTTCCATATTGTGCAATACCTGCTTTTGCTGTCCTCCCCTAATTGGATTTTGTTGCTCAGTTTCCATTTTGAATTTGCTGTTCACCCCAAGGAAAAAGAAGAACATCCCTCATTTCCTATGCTGTGTGGCATGAAACCTTGGGAGAGAGACCGAATAACTTGCAGATTTGTGTTCTCGTCTATGGGAGAACAGGTTTTAAAGGGGTTTTGTAAGTTCCAAACATGCTCAGTGCTGAAGTTTACATTAGTAGGTAAAAGATGAGTTCAAGGTCAGTGTTTTAATGTATTTACTCAAATTAAAGAGTGTGGTAGTTACGTCAACTGTAAAGATTATGAGAATTAATAATTCAAAGCTTTCTCATCTAAGAAAATCACTAGTTTCCCATCCTCAAAGAGTTTAAACATTAGCTTAACAAGTTATAGTAACTCAAATGCAATTAGTATCTGTGCAGCTGTAAGTTATCTCACGTTTTTGAAATGCTAAATTTTAAAATAAGCTTGCTATCCTGTATTCTCCTGTCACAATATGTTGGTGTTTCCTTCATATCGTACTCCTTGGTGCTTTAAATCAGGTACCTCTCCTAGGTACATCCTTGATATCCAGATTCTACTGTTTTATATTTTCTTGTTCTGTTTCCTTTGCTTTGCTCTTAAATTCAGATATGTTTTGAAAAATTTTCATTTTAGTTTCTCATTCTGAGACATATGGGGCCTAATTCAGCACCACGAAGACCAAATACTTGGATACCACTTAGTTTCAAGCCACTCACATCTACAGTAGACTCAGCAGAGGCTTTGTGGTTTTCATTGCTTATTCCCCATGGAAGGAGGGATAAGAATCATGCTTTTTAAAAATAAATGCATCTTCATTATAGTTTAATTATGTATACAGCAGTTACTTTTCAGCTAGAGAATGGAAGACGTTTTGTAGTGTTGGTTAAGGATGATAGAATCCGTGTGTAGGATTTTTATAAAACTTGAAAATAAATTTTTGCCACCTCTAGATCTGAAGAATATAATTTTAATGCCATGAAGTGAAGCAAGTGGTGTATTACCGTCCTTGTTCCCATCTTGTTTTCGGGCTTATCGTGCAGTCACATGCAAATCAGTATTGTCTCATGGGACACTTGTCCTCCTCTAAGTGACACGAAAGAGGAAGCTGATCAAAAAATGTCCATTGCAGAAAGATCTCCACATTTCGTATTATTACTTTGTAAATGTCAGGAGAGGGGACTGGGTTCTCCTTATGCCAGTTTAATTTTTAGTAGTACTAGAGTGGTAGGTGAAACTGAAAAAGAGCCTCAGTATTTACAGGGGGGAACTACTTTGCAAATTGTGGTTACGTGTGTGGTGCATGCATGGCTCATTGAATCCCCAAGCTGAGAAAATAGGACAGAGCCAGTCTTGTTACTGTCATCTTGAAAGTGCAGAGAAAAAAGTGCTTTTTCAAGTCATGTGAGACTGATAAATGAAAATAAAGGGGCTTGAATGGCAATTATTATCTGAGACTCTCCTCAGGTTTTCAGAGCAGTGTGACGCATAGCTCAAAAGACCGAGTGGAATCATGTTTTACTGCCATGAATATTCAATGAATTTTTGTTCTTTTGTCTGAGAGCTCTGGTCCTGAGCAGTCCCACAGCAGCAGTGTCAGGCCTCCACAGTCCGATAGCTGTGCTAGTTGCTTACATCTTGAGTGTTGTGTTGAAGCAGACAAACTCTGCCAAATTTCTCATTTCTTATGTAATATTTTGCAGGTATTGTGAATCTGGGCTGACTGTTCATGTGCATTCACTGCCTTATTTCCCAAATCACATGAAGGAGTTGCCCTGGCTTCTCATACAAGAAGTAAAATTGGGCTTTTTAACAACACAACATTCATGTGGCTTTCCTTGTGTCTTCCTTGTTATTGTGGTACAGGGCCAAGCATACCTACCATAAATCTTTGCTGGAACAAGTTCAAGAGTTGGAGATGAAGACAAGAGAGCTGGGAAAAGCCATGCTTCGTGACAGTAATGGAAAGAGGTGGGACAATAATATGCTGATATTTAAAAAAGAAAAATTACTTGTCCTCTCCTCTTTTTATTTCTTATTGTTCAAACCTGATTGCAGACAGGTAAGAAGTCTTCTGTCCTGTATTATTAATTTGTTGCTGTTGTTCCTTTCCATATATTCTTGTTGCCCCCACCAAAACCCTTTTGGTTTTGTTTCTCCTATGTTATTGCTAGCGAGGCTGTATTTGTAAACTACAGCTCAATCTCCTGGTAACAAGTAGTGCTATTACCTGGCCATTTAGCCAGACTGTTTTGAAAGGACTTTGTTGCAGATACTTTCTTTGCCATCAAAAAAGTCAGCCTGAGAAGTTTGTCCAAGGTGGAAACTGTGACTCAGGATTTAAGGAGGGTTAGACTGTAGCTAAAGGGAGAGCTGGCTAATCCAGTGTTTCCCTACAGCTGCATTCGTTCTCACCTCAAGGTGTTGTTTTTTGGTTTTTTTTTTTTAATATTTTTGCTGTTTTCCACTGAAGTTTTGAAGGCCCCTGGGTTCAGGGTTCTCAGTTTCTCATCATACCTTTCCCTTGTATCCACACCATATGGACTTGAACATATTGCTATTATTGAATCCTTCTTTGTAAGGGGAGAGTATGTGTTGGTATGTGTTGCGTGGGAACCTTTGTCTCTTCTGAAAGAAGCTAAAGAAAATCACACGGAGGCTTTTGCATCCAACAGTTTCATTTGCCATCACAGAATGTGGTTCTGCATCAGCTAGTCGGAAAAGCTCCCTGGGTTCAAAAACGTTTTAGAACTAACTCTTCTGTTCCCTAAACAATATGGCACCACATGACTTGCTAAGAAACGACACGATCATTAAACTGGATTTTAGCAAACCTTATAAACTAGCAAACTGAGTGGAATGGAGCTTTTAAAAGATTTTGTTCTTGTGGGGCAGGGTCATCCTTTGAGCCTTTGATGTCTATTCTGAGGTAAACTAATTGCCATATTGTAGCTGCTGCTAAGATGAGTGGGTAGTAGATTTTTCAGCTGAACTTGTGAGTTAATAAGCACTATTTTTAGGGAAAATTATCAGGGAGTGAGTTTACCAAGATTGTAGTAAACCAAAAAGCTTTAAAAAATTGCTTTGTGAACTACAGTGTGTTTGTGAGATGGTCTTAGTGAGCGGAGTTTGCTTCTCAGAAGCCAAGACAAAGTAAACATAGTGTTGTTGATTAAAATCACTTCAAAATGCTTGGTATGCTCAGTTTTTATTGAGCCATTTTTCTGCCATGACTTTTGGATTCTACAAAACACTGCATATAAATTGTGCTCACTTGGAAAAGTCACAAACTGCACATCAAATTGCTTAAAAAGAAAAAGCAAACTTTGCAACACTGGTCAACAGTGTTTTATGCCATGATTAAAATCAGCAAAAATGCCTGAAGTCAGGCATCAAATTAAAAATAGGTGTTGTTTTTAGTTGGCTGAGTAGTCACCTTAAAGTCAGTTGGAGTCAAAGTGGTACCAAAATCAGGTTAACCTCCCAGCCAAAACACATGAAAGGTGTGACTCTGGGTTGTGAATTACTGCTCACAGACCAATTAGATGCCAAGCAAGTGGGATCCAGTTGTGCTGAGGACTGGCTGTTCCCAGGCATGCTGTTCTGATAGTAGGAGCCACACAGCTGCTGCTGTGGCTCCTATCAGTGCCTGGGACAAAGCTGCATTTGTGTCAGTGAGATGTTTGTGTTTTCCTGCCAGTGTTAAGTGCCAGTTATTGACAGCCACGGAGGGAAGTGAATCCACTTTTTGCAGGCAGAATCTGTGGGTTGTGAGGCAGGTTGACATAGTATTAATAGTGAGAAAGGTTGTTAGTGTTTAATCTGTTTATATGCGTGTGTATGTGTCTCCTAGAACTTGATGGGTTTCTTCTCTGTTTATACAGACAGTCCTGACTTGCTGTAAATTTAAAGACCATGTTGTAATTCACTCATATGCTCTATGTTTTCATAGCCTTTTATTTTACTGCATTCTTATTGCAAACTCTCTCATCTGCATTCCTCCTCCTCTGTATAGCTTCACTTCATTCTCGAAACGCTTGCATGGAGATGATGTAAGGAATCCCTACTGGCCTTCTCCCCTTCTCCCTCCCCCACTTCTTTCCATGCATTTGTTTGTTCTTCTTCCTAATTGCTCCCAGATTTTCTGGGTGGTCCATCTGTGAACTAGATAATGGTAGAGTGCCTCTGCCTGCTAGGAGCTGGTGTGCTGTGCTTGTGATGTGGCCTCCAGAGTGCTCTTCAGAGTTGTTCTGCCTTTTATCTCTTTTGTTTGTCTCCTGGCTCTTTCACACCTGCTTGAAATCGTGAGCTTGTCCAAAGGGAAGGGTGAGGGTGGGAAAGAGGCAGAGGGACCTTGCTGCAGTTACAGCCTCTCTGGTTCATATTCTTTATTTTCTCTTAAGTGTCCTTGAAGCCAGTGGAAATGAGGAGATGCATGCACTTCTCTCCCCTGCTGCCCACAGCCCCATTGCTCTTAGGGTATTACTGGCAATGTGACACTGTGCAGAAAAGGAACGTAACCAGAGTCTCTTCATTTCTAACACAAAATGGAGAGCTGTGTTAGAACTGCACGGGTCTACCAGTCACCTCTGAGTGCTGGTGTCAGCTCTTGGTTGGAAGTGTTCCTGAAAACACAGCCATTAGGTGTTGGTTTGTTCAGGCAGCTGTGAAAGATAAGCTTGCTGTCATCGGGTCTGGTTTCCTGTCTCATGTAGTAGATGCTATTTTTGTTCAGTGTTTTTTTTCACAAACAAAAAAAAATATATATAAAAATCACACCCAATTACAGATAAGGGGGATTTAGGGAGCTAATTGCTGTTATCATTAGATAGACTATAGGGGAAAAATGAAGTGCAAGATGTGGATCTTTAGGATTATTCTGTTAAACAAAAAGCAATTCACAAACCCCAGAAGGCAGTGAGACCATCTAGACGTACACAACAGGGTGCCAGCAGTTTGCAGCAGCTCACTTGAATTTCTGTAAAGCATGAACAGGGTAGCACCTGGGTCTTCACTGCAGTTTGGGTAGGAGCACCAGGAGATCTCATGTGCCTCTAAATATGCACATCCTGCTTTAGGTCTTCACCCTGGCAACTGTTCTTGCAGGAGATATTTTTCCTGGTTAATAAAAAGTGCCTTCTAGTGCCAGTTAGATTTTCTAAATCTTAGTTTCTTTGAGCAGTGTCTGAAATTGAATTTGCTTTTATTGAGTTAAAACAAACAAACAAAAAAAAACAGGCATATATTTTGTCTTTACCAATGATAAGTGAGAAAAAAAAATGGGAGGTGGGAGCTGGTTGATGATGGCTGGTGTGTGCAGGAAAGAGCACTGGCATGCAGAGTGCTACAGCCTGGTCCCAAATACCTCAGAAAAAGCACTAGTGAGATTCTTGAAGGTGATACCAAGTATACTGCTGTGAGCCGTAAAGGGTTTTGTCTTCATTTTTTCTCTATATCTCATCTAGACATCTGAAACTTTTGTTTTTCATGGAAGCTGGAATGATTACAAAATCAGATGATTCCAAGAGTTAGTAGATTTAATCAGGGGAAAATGCCACATCCGTGGAGGTGTTTGATGCCATATTGGATGGGGCCCTGGGCAACCTGATCTGGTGGTTGGCAGGTTTGCCCATGGCGGGGGGGTGGAACTGGATGATCTTTAAGGTCCTCTCTGACCTAAGCCATTCTGTGAATCTATGGAAATACTTGAAAACTGATGACCAGAAATAGCTTGAGAAGCAGAGGTGGGAGTGTGCAGCAAGGAGTTAGCAAGGGATCCCATGGTGTGTTCACATTCCTGCTTGTGGAAGATGAGTGCCTGCTCTGGTGCTCCCCAGCCTGACACACAGTGGCTGGCATCCAGCCCGGCTGCAAGGTGAGCGAGCCTGGGTGCAGGAGGGGAAAGGGCTCCCTGGCACTCATATAACAAAGGGCAGGATTTAACACTAAATTTATGTGGATTCAGGGAGGTGAGAGGGGGCAGTCTGTGTGCCAAAGTAAACAGGGACATGTGGAGACACCTGCCCAGCAGAGCTAATCATGTTAACATGCGAGATTTACACACACGAAAAAAGTTTTTCTACAACTTTTGTATTCAAAAGTGGCATTGAGTTCAGCTGCAGCGATTTTTTGTATCTTGAGGTAAGTTTGCAAGTAAACCTTGCCTCGTTTAGGGCCAAGTCTTTAAGTCTTCGTTCACTTTTCGGTCCATCTAACCTCTCATTGAAGTCAGCAGGCATTCAGGTGGAGTAAAGCCTGATTAGTGACCAAAGCAAACTTTATTTTGGAAACCCGTGTCATTTCAGTGCTCCAACGGCCAACAAGGAGAGCTGTGCAGCATGCTCCTTGTGACAGTAGATTTTCTATTGCATAGTTCCCCTATCTGAAGCTCCCTTTGAAGGTGGCTTTTTGGTTGTTTTTCTGTTCTGTTTTGTAATTTTTTAGTGGCTGGGATGAGAACAGTATTTGATACTGAAGAATGATGCAGCTTTCACTGTTGAATTGCTTTACATGGACTTGAAGGGCCTGGGCTGTGCTGTAGAACAGTGCCTGCTCCACTGAAATACTGGGAAGAATTCTTTCAAATTATTAGGAAAACTGAAAGGCAGTGTCTTTTATTCAGCAAAGAGAAATTGAAGTGGCTGCTGAAGAAGCAGACCCCACTTCATGTTGTGCATTTTAGCTCTGTCTGCTTCCAGATATGAGCTGATGAAAGTTGGCCACCTCTTCCTTTCATCTCCGTATTGTAGAACAAGCGCTGGTTTTCCATGTGCTGAAAACTGCAGTGCTCCCCAGTCTCTTGCTGTCTGTCTTCAACAAGGAAACTCTGTGATGGAAATTCTCTTTCACTCCAGTGCTTTTCACCAAAGCCGCCTGTTGCTTCAGTGAAACATGCACGACTGGTTCTCACCTCAAGAGCAAGCTGTCTAGTGACCTCAGCCTGGGTTTTATGGGGTGGGTGAGCACAGAGG